ATGTTCATCCGTTGACCAAGCAATTTGCAAAAGTTTTTAATAAAAAAATTGATCAGGAATTATGCAGAACAAAAACAATCATCAGGTGGGTAACTTGAGGCAAATTTCATCGCATTTTACGAAATTAAGAAAAAAAAAGGATCAAAAAAAAGTTCAACCCCAACAATTTAGCAGTGGCAAGTCATTTGATTAAATTTATTTTTATTTCGACCCTTTCCCCAAAAAAAAGGCTTCCAATTTTTTTTTCGTTCCTTTTCATCCTCATCTCTTTCATATTTTTTGTGTATTTTATTTATTTATAACTTTTCTGTCATACTTTTTTTGTTGAGTTAATGGCGATTGCGATTGCTGTATGTGGTGAATTTTAAATAGGTTTGGATGTTCAAACACAGATGAGGGTATGCAAAAATATTTTAGATTATCTTGCAAAAAATATTTTGGATACTTTTATAATTTCCATCAAGTTTGGAAGTAAATAAAATTATTTAGATTTATTGGGATTTGAAGAACTGCACGAGAGGTGATTCCGCTAATGCAACGCTTCTGATCGACATTAAACATTGCTAATAATGATCAATAATTGTTATAGTTTCTTGATTGAAGATTAGATGACTAATTTGACATCCAGTAATCCAACAACCTCAAATAACACAGCAATTATTTCAATCTCATCCCTTTCAATTAAGTTTCTCATGTTTGACATCAACAAATAAAATATTTTTCTAAGTTTTTTTGTCATTGCATTGATTGCTGTCCACCACCTTCCCATTTCAATTAATGGAGCACAAGAGAGAATGAGAAAACTTAGCACCAACGAATTAACTCAATGAATGTAATTATTTCTTGTGAAAAATCCTCGTAATTTGATTTCTGTCCTTCATTACGATGTGATAAAGTGATGGAAAAAAAGGTATGAGGATGGAAAATATACTCATTTGCTATACGCTAGTAAGACAATATAAGTGAAAAATATTCCGACCTATCTTATACATTTTTCTACTCCAAGCTTCGCTTAATTGAATTTTGTGTGAACAAAGGGGGACATAAATTATAATTAACATGAATTCCGTTCCATTTGTCTCGTAAGACATAATTATTTTACTTTTTTTTCGGTTTTGGGAATAGCCTTCGTGTTGATGATGTTGGCGGAAAGGCAAAAATTGTAAATGAGATGAAAAATCTGTGTCATTAATTTTTTTCCGTGAGAGTCAAAGGTTTTGGAAAAGTAAGGGACAAACTTCTATAATATTGTTTAATAATGAATTCTGGGAAATTAGAGTGGAATGAACGAACTCGAATAAAAGGATAATGATTAATTAAAGATAAAGCTTAAATGTTGCAAACTTTCTGCTTTAATAATGTGTATGTCCGAAATGGCACAAGTCCGTTAATCGATCAGAAATCCGGTATCAAGATGGTATGACTTTGGCATGATGCTAAATTTAAATCGAAGCCAGTATCATGCCAGCTTTAGACCTGATTGCTATTCGATTAACCGACTTGAGCTATTCGAGTTTGTTAAGGATTTCATTTATTCAATTTAAGAACTATTGCGATGTTTAAGGTTAAGTATCAATTTCAGGATATTATCAATGTTGTTCTAATGATATAAAAGCAAAAAGTGATCCGACGATTGTTTAAGTTTAAAGTTCAAATTCAGATTTGGTTTTTTACATTTACATACAATTCTGCATTCTTAAAGCTTGTCTGTATCTTTTCAAAATTCACCCACCTTGATTATTAACATCCGAACAGTAAATAATCAGCTTTCCCAATTGTACAAATGCCACAATAAAATTGAACACAAAAGGATATTCAAATTCAATCCAGTGTAAATCTCAGATTAGATTTTTTTACCAACGTATCAATTTTAACTCAATCATGACAATTTTTAACAAGAAAAAGGATATTTTGAAAAAATTACAGAAGGATAAGAATGGCAAATCTGTTCATTTATTACAATAAAAAATTTGAATAATATTTCTGAGATTCAGTTGCAAAACATCCCTTTTCCTCTCCACTGAATGAATTTGCGTAAAATGGAAATCAAGAAAAAAATTGAATACAGCATAACAATTGAAATTAAAGATTTCATTGGTGAATTTTTGGGGATTGAATTCAAAAATGATAATCTGAGATTTACCTGGGTTGGAAATTAGGGTTTGAATGAACTTTAAGAAGAATTTAAATATTGAAAATTTATGATTAGAATTGAAATGAGCAATTTTTGAAAATTTTATATTGAAGTATTTAAATTCAATTTCGAAAGAATAAGAAAATTAAAATTTGTTGTGAATATGATAAATTTTTTAAACTTTTTATAAATATTTGTAATGAGTATAAACACATTATTGTGAAAATTATCACTTTGTCAAACTTTCTGAACAATTAATTTGATTTGATTAAATCTGATAAATTTAAATTGATTAAATTTGACAAAATAAATTTAAAAGTTTTCGTCTAAAGAGATATTTCTTTAATTCCAGATTTAAAAGAATTTGAACATGTTTTACAAACATTTCATCCCATTTAATCCAATCAAAAGTTTTTTTTTGAAATTTCTATTCTTTTACTTTTTTTATTAACACAAAACCCCAAAAAATACGGTAATGAATTAAAAAAAGTCCACAAATTTAATCAACGAATCCACTCAAATCTTCTTTTTTTTGTAATTCCTAAAATTCCCCTTAGCAAAAATAAAAGAAACCCAATAAAATTCTATTGACAAGCTTTGTTCTAAACTTGATGAAAAGATATTATTTCATCGGAAAAGCACCAAAGAAAAAAGTTGCTTTAAAAACTCCTCTGATTGAGACACAGAAGAAAAACACATATAAAAGGGATTGATAAAAACATTCGATTCTATAATAAAATTACAAAAGGACGAGAAGCAAAGAGAAAGTTTTTTGTGGTGTGAATGAATGAAGAATTCATATCAATTGATTGGATATGGAAACTCTATGAGAAAGAAGAATGAATTGAATTTTTTATTTGGTATTCAGTGGTTTTTTAAACTAAAGTAAAATGCGGACTTTACGAATTGCTGGTTATATTTTGAACATTCTTTTACTTCTTTAAAACAGTAGATATGGAGCCCAAATTGTTATGGTCGCTTATTTAAGTTCTGACTCAACAAAATATCCTATGAAATATTCTCTTAAATTAATATCCATTAAAACTTAACGTAGTTTCAACTCCTATTCAGATAAATCTTTGTTGCTACTATTTACTGTAGCAGGCTATGAAGCAGAACAGACCGAGATAGAGGCAAAAAGGTACTATAGCACATACGTTCCTCATAAAGAACTGCAAGAACGAGAAGAAGAAATATTTAAATTTCCAATTTGAACACGATATCAAAGAAACTTTAAAGTTCCCATTTGCTTCTGAATGAAATTAGTTCTCGAATTTGAAATCTAATTTATTTGTTAAAGAAGCTGAAAGTTTTTATTACCATTTAAGTTTTCGAAAAACACTATCTCAGTCCCACTTTTTAATGTGTTAAATTCTCAATCCCTCTTTTATTACTTTTGATGATAAGAAAAATGAAAGTTTTACAATCTTATGAAGAATCTTGATATTTATTTAGTCTAAGAAGCTTATCACGGATTTTACTATGAGCAACTGAGTAAGTTTGTACAATTTTCTCTTTACAAAACTTTTTATCTGCGATAATAATCCTTTTAAATGATATTTATAGACATTACTAGCTGTTAATTTTGTCATTTTTGAGATATTCTAAGTTTTGTTAAAGACTAGATAAATAGATGATCTTGATGAACATCCTTTTGCATTTTGGTTATATCGTAATCTCTTTATAATCTCAGGAAAGAGAAGATTGGATTTTCGCTTTCCAATTTACAATATCACTTACGTCATAAATGTCATTGATCGCTAGCAAATTATAGATTTCTCGTTTATATAATCCAATTATGCATATTCAATCCGGAATAATAGATTGAAACCTCTTTCAATAATGATGAAACTCTATTCAGAACTACAATATTACATTTATAAGGCTTCAAACTTCTTTTCTCGTCAACACATTTCCTATTTCTTCATACTAAAGTATTTGATTTCCATAGCAAGATTTTCCAATTATTTTTCCTTATTCTCCTTTTCAATCTAGCATCTTGTACCATTGAATGGAAATACTGTGCAGTGAAATAAAATTTAATGACATAAAGATGTGTACTTCAATATACAGTGATAGATATGTGCTTTATTTTCTCAACTTAGAGAAATTGGAAAGGATTATAGTCATGCTACGTTAAGCTTTTTGAAAAACTTTAAAAACTTGAAAACTTTAACGGATTTCAAAATTTTAAATTGTAACGGTTTTCAAAATTTTGAAATTAAAGTTTAAAAATTCAAATTTTAATAATTTTTTAACGGAAGTTCATTTGCACTCAGAGTTGCGAAACAGGCCACCTGTGACAGGTGAGAACCGTTAGATTCCTTGATAATTTGTATGGTTTTGTTAGAAAAACCTCATAAATTATCAAGGAATTGTAGGGTTCTCACCTGTCACAGGTGCCTGTTTCGCAACTCTGCACCCAAAATGCTTTTCTCGATTAAATAACACTCCACAACAAAGTTTCAATAAAGCTGATTATGATGCATACGGAATGCTTCAATGTAATCACAAGGATTCCATTAACAGTTCATTGAATGCTGAAAATTACATTTATTTGATTTCATGACAATTGTATCAACAACAATATTTAATGACTAATGGAAGAAATTACATCTAGATAATAGAGACGTGCTGTAAATTCCATATAAAGTTAAAACAAAAGATGGAAAAACACATGAAATTTAATGCTTTTCAATTTAGTTTTTGTCATATTTCATGTGATTGTGATCTCAATAATGAAATTGTCATAAAGTTTACAAGACATTTTATAGTTCTTGATGCTTTTATTGCTTGATTTTCATTGTAAGACAAACTTTATAATCATAGAGAAAAGCAGACAAAATAACGACTTTTGGCGGGAAAATTCAAATTCTTAAAAAAAACATTTGTAAGGTTCTAATAAGCGTACGGTTCTCGTGTTTACAAAAAATTCAGTCCAAATTATTTTAGTGAAAATATAAATTTAATTATTTCCGTATTAATAAGAAATAAAATGCTTCAATGAATGAAAGCATCAATTTATTAGTGCCATTCAGGGAATTTTCATTATCTATTTATAACTGTCGTAATAAAATAGAAGAAGCACTGGAGCTGTTAATATTTTCGACAATTTTCTTCATCGTATTTAACATCATTTTATTCTATTTAATACATAATTATCGCAATGGGAAGAGCAAATTTCGATTTTGTCGATCAACAAAGCTTCCAGAGCATGTGTCAAGAGTATTGCTAGTTACAGCACATCCAGATGACGAATGTATGTTTTTCGGTCCAACATTAATAGCTTTAAAGAAGAAGAATTGCAGAATTTTTGTTCTGTGTATGTCAAGAGGTGAGTCTTAAATCAATTAAATATCAAGCGAAATTTCTAATTAATCAATTACAGGCGATTATGAGAAACAAGGCCACGTACGTAAAGATGAACTTTGGAGTGCTTGCAAATGTTTCGAAATTAAGGCACAAGACATAACATTAATACAATGTACACAACTTCCGGATGATCCAAATGCAGAATGGAAAGTCGAACTTATTTCTACGCTTATTTTAAACCAAGTTGAGGCACTAGACATAGACTTATTAATAACTTTCGATAAAGACGGCATAAGTCAACATAAAAATCATCAAGCATTGTATTATGCAACAGCATCGTTATGTCTCTCTGGATTAATACCATCAACATGCAAGATTCTTATTCTTGAGACTGTCAATATTGTTCGCAAATACTTATCGCTTTTTGATGTTCTCCTTAGTCTTCTATTGTCAACAAATTGGTAAGTAACTTGTGCTATTTACACAATATCAAGGAAGAACGATGATTTTCCATTAGTTTGAACAGTTTTTCATTTCATTTGTCAAACAAAGTTTCAAGGAAATCTCTCGACTGCTTCTTATTAATTAAACAAGGTTGCTTCAAGCTTTTTTCGCTGTATATACTTAAGTTTGAGATAAATGAGAAGTTTTGAGTCGTTATGACTCGATATTGTCTTTGTGTAAATGAGACTTGTTTATTGTGATCCATATTGGCTGGAAATTACTATGGGTAATTCCATGAGTGGGAAAATCGAAAAAAAAATTTTTAAAAGTGTTATTCTCTTTAATTAAAAACATTTAACTCAATTTGATGAGCTTATCTTATAGCTTAATATGAAGTGATTTTATGACAATTATAACTTAACAGCATAAATATGTCTATAATTAATTATTTTAATAAAACTGTTGTCAAACGGTTAAATCTTCAGAAAATGTGAAATTTGTTCATGAAAATTCTCTTCATATACATGATTTAGCCAGTGATTGAGTAATTTAAGTAATTCTAAACTAAACTATCTTCAAATAGATGTGAGTTCTACTTAATAATATGCTGTATTTAACGAGAAAACTAAGAAAAACTGCGTCAAACGGTTAATTTTCAACCGATTATTACAAAACACACGTGAGATAAAAATATTCAAATCTTTTTATACCGTTAAATGTTTCACTGTATTTAAGATGTTTTAGACTTATATTCACGTTAATAAATATTTGAAATGATTAATGACAGATATTAATACGAATTTCTTGTTAAAACACTTTAATTAATGATTATTTCCGATAAACTATTTATTTCACAAGAATAATTTCGATTATGTTATAACGGTCAAAGTAAATTTGAAAATAACAAGTTGAGAAAAATTGTAAGTCGTTTTTTTTCAGTTTCGTTAACTCATGGAATTACCCTATGAAGTCGTTCTCCCTTAATACTCTGTTTCACACGAATTTTTTCGCCCAAATTTCCAAAATGTTTTCATTAATATCTTTAAGGTGGTAAAATTTCCAGTAATACTAAGTATACAAAAATATAGCTTAAAGTAAAAGCTTCAAAACGATGTCAAAATCATATTTGTGGAAGCCTTAATTAAGCTGCAATTTGGATTCTACGAAAAATTTCATAAGTGAAACAGAGTAATTTGGAGACAATTCCAAAAAAAACTACCAAATATTAAAATTAAAACCATGAATATCTCAAGCCATAGCTAAGTAATTTGAGTGCAAATGTAATCATAATTCACAGTTTAACCAATAGAAAAGGAAATGAGAATTAGATTTTTGAAAAACTATGCACAAGTGAAAATAAAATAATTAAAAAATTTCATGCAATTGACACGGATTATTTTCATGAAACCTTTTCGTAGAATTGCCTATAAACAGAGGGCGAAGTCGACTCGAAATTTGTATGAAGTCGAGTGAACTCAAGTCGACTTTTCCATACAAAATCCGAGTCGACTTCGCCCTCTGCCTATAAATAAATTTTCTCAAAATGCGCTTCAAAATCGCATGACAGAAACCACTTAACTCATTCATCAATGATTTTCAAATCACAAGTCACGTGAATTAATGTAATCATTGATTTCAATTTAATTAAACTCGTTCGTTCTCTAAAGGCAATAATAATGACTATCTCTCCCTCTCTCCAATCTTTATATCTTTGACAACAGGTGCATCGTGAGGTGGCATGAACGTAATATTATTCAATCAGCAATGCAACGACATCTCTCACAAATAGCTTGGTTTAGACGACTTTATATAATTTTCTCACGCTATATGATTATCAATTCATTGACGGAATTGAATGTTGAATCAATTGAATTTGATATTCTAGAGAGTTAAAAAGAATTTATATCTCTATTGATTTTTTTTTTGTTTAGCTAATTAGTCCAATTTATTTAATTTTTATTTATACTTCTTCTATCTTTGACAATGTACACATTGGTACACATTGTTATTTAAATGACAAAACAACAACAACAACAAAATATGAAAAGAAAATAAATGACGCAATTTTTTTCCCACAATGAAAAGAGATAAAATCGTTTCCCTCAATAATCACGAGCTATCATCTCAGTATTCATGCGGAATCGTGTGCTTTCAAGGATAAACGTCAATATACAGAGGTTGACAATTGATGATAAATCTTACTGCGATGTCACAGATGAAAATACATTTCTGTATGTGTGATTTGTTTACGATGATTGGTTTGGGAAAGTAGATTAATACGGGAAATTGGCAATGACAAAGGTTTGCATGGGCACCGATTGGACATTTCCTAGTGTATATAATAAGACCTTATCTAAGGTATCGATAATAATTAAAAGGTTTAAAAGTGAGAAACTGAAATTCTAGATGACAAAATTAATAGAAACAAAGGATCCCTAGAGTGTCTACGAGTTTTTGACTCTCGCTGTTACCACTGTGCTACCGGAAGTAATCAGATTAAAGCCCGTATGGGGCTGTTCACTTATGACGTCCGACATTTAGGGGGAGGGGGAGGAGGGTCTAGGATTTTGTGACAGTTCAAACAATGGAAATTTTTTTCTATAGAGTTTTTGTGACAGAGGGAGGGGGGAGGGGGGTCCAAAAATCAGGTTTTTTGATGGACGTCATAAGTGAACGACCCGTATGTCATTCAAAGATTCCACACTTTCGTGTATCTCTTGTATTCACCATTTATAGGCTTTTTACAGGAATTTTGTAACTTCAGGATAAACAACATACCTGACAGCAACATTGGAGTAGGGGTTCCAGAATTCCCGGGAATCAACAATATTATTGGAGATTGAAAAGTTACAGTCAGCTCTTGTAAATGTTGGTGGATTCCAGAAATATTAATTTCAAGCACGTATTTTTATTTTGGAAAAATTACTTTAATCCAATTCCTAGCGAGACTAACTAGCAAATTGCTAGTCTTTCTATTCTACAACTTGCAATTTACTAGTTATTATTAAAACAACTTACTGTTAATAAATTACACTTGCTATTTACTAGCAAATTACCATGTAAAATGTTTGATCAAATCTGCTTATGTTCGATTGACCATCGTCAAGACAATAAGACATCGTCAAGACAATTCTTCTGTAGTTTGTCAGTTAAAAAAGTCTATGTAAATCCAATTTGTGTCAAATATTCATACTATGTGCTTACTTGTGTGTGAACGATGAGTAATTGTTCAAATGTGAAGAAAATAACACAACATATGAAATGTTTTATGATGGCTATAAGTGCTGCTCCTTATAGAACCTAAAATATATGGCAATTTTAAAAACGAATTAGTAAAATCAAAATAAATTTAATTCTTAATTAAGATTTGCTGTTTAAATTAAAGTTTCATGATATCAAATTCACTTTCTCTGTTGGAAATTAGTCAGAAAAACTTTCAAAATGGCTCACGTAAAGCCTACGTTACGTAAAATGATTAAGTAAAATCACACAACATTAAGTTCTACGTTGCGTTTGCTCTTGCTCGATGTAAATTAAAGGTGGAAGTCGATGGACAGGTAAGAGAGAAGCTGATGCAAGATAAAGGAGAGATTAAACTGAGAAAGCAAATTTTTTGATGGTTCTTCTTTTTATAGTTAATCATATCAAGTTTAATTTCAACCAAGGAAATGAATCAATCGTGTTTTCATTCCATTACTGCTCACATTTCAAGCTTTGAATCAGAACAGTCCGAGATAGAGGCAAAAACGTTCTTTACCACACACCTGAGCATGAAAAAGAACCACAATTTAGGGTTAGGGTTAGACGCTTGTAATTAAGCTTCTATTGATTACAACCCAAATCATCAGAGGCTCATTTTTCACATTAAACTACACGATACGTCATTGGACCTGATGTAAGTCTAATGCTGTGTGTGAGAACAGGCATCTAGACAAAAAATTGCAAGTCTCTTTTACGAGCAAGCAATCAATGTCCTTGATGCCACTCTACATCAAGGATGAACCAATCAGTAGCCACGATAGTAAGTCTCACAGGCAGAAACACATGACTCATAGGCTCGATTTACAAAAAAAACAAGAACAGAAAAACTTTTTAAAAAAAGGGTCAAAAGACTTTGCTCCCTCAAGTTTTACCCCTCCTCATCTTGCATCGACCCCCCTCTGACCTATTCAACGACTCCTACACTTAATTTACATCAACAAAGGCTGACGAAATGTAAAACTCAATGCAATGCGTTTTTAAGTAATCATTTCACGTATTGCAAGCATTACGTACGCAATTGCAGGAAGTCAAATGGCTGGTTTCATCAAAGAAAAGGAATTTGAAAATCTGAATGTGTTTCAGATGACGTAGATCAATTAAATTAAAGTCGCCCTTGAATGTCCTATTTATCAGTATACTTAGCTTTTTCTTCGTTGTCACTAGCCTCTTGCTTCTTTAATTGTGTCCTGGTTCCTTCAAGCTTCATCAATCTCACTTTCACTTCAATTTTACAGCTTCTTAAATTTAATTTTCTTAACTTTCAATGTTCACTCAGAAAATTTTTAATTTTTTCCTTCACTTTTAATTTTTTCATCACTTTTGGCTTATTTTCACTGTTGTTTCCATTTTAGCACTTCACTATCACTTTTATCTTGAACTCCACTTCTTTTTAAGCATTAATAATGTCAAGTTCCAATTTAGTTGCACCGATTTGCAACAATATTTAAAAACACGTCTTTAAAGAATTAAACTGAAGAAAATTGTGAAAAAATCGAAAGTCTAAGGTTGCTGAGAAATTTGATCTTTTTTGACTGATTGTGATTTCACATTTTCTGTCGTTAATTAAGGGTGTATTCAGCTCCTATTCATGTCAATTTCAATCGTTTGTTTACATTTATTTACAATTGAGCATTTTTAACGGATATTTTGAATTTAATTATTTTGTTTCGGTAAAATTTTGAAAAAAAAAAACGGTATTTCTTCATGTTCCAGTAAATAGCTAATGGGCGATTCCATGAAACGATTTATCTACAAATTTTTCTCCAAAATGATTTTTAACATCTATTCTACTGCAAATAAGCTTTTCGTAGGCCATTTAAAACATCATTTTCTACTTAATGGACTGAAATTTTCTTGCTTAAAGTGGTTAATTAAAGAATTATTTCAATTCTTTTGGCGTTACTTAGTAACACAATCGAAGAAAAAATAATTTGGAGACTCACTTAAAGTGATTTTTCTTTCCTTTTCGCAGATTGTTAATAATAAAGACTGTCACAACTCAAAGATTGATAATAAAGCTACCAAAATCTAGCATTATATTACCGCAAAAGTGCTTAATTAAGCTACAATTTTAATTTCTATGTGACTTTAAAAAATGTTACTAAGTAACGGAGAGATTTATTCCGTGAAAAAATACAGAATTCAAAATTTTCAAATTCTATTTTTTCAATGTATCTTTCATTAAAGTAATGTTTAACTAATTAGAATTACTCATTTTAGGATGAAAAATAGTTTAAGATGAGTAAAACATTAAGAAAATAAGAGTACAAAGAAATATTTGAAAATTAATATTTCATACTTAATAGACTTGGATCAAACTTAAATGTAATCAATGAAACTATTTCATGGAATTGATGGAATGATTCAGATTTGAAAAAAATTGTTCAAAAATTATTAACAAGTTATTTAAACTATATGTTTTAAATGCAAAATTGAAGAACATGAGTTGTTTTATGTTCTGTAAAAATATCTCATTACAAAATGTTGTGTAACTCAAAAAATTTCGATTCTAAGATGAATATAAATTTGTTTACAAAATGACAACAAATTTTTTTCTTAAATTTTTTTCTCCTTTTCACTTCTAATTTTAATGTTTGAGTGTAGAACCCAAAGCAAAACCTTTTAATTAAGCGAATATTTACGCTTAATTTTTATGAAATTTTGCAAGACTTTAAACAGTCATAAGTTAAATTCGCGCCTCTCCGCTTCTACCAAACCTATTAAAAACTGAAGATCATAGTCTAATTAACCTTCCATATTAATGTGGACATGCCCTAATATGCCCGAAGCGAGATATTTGCGATTGAAAATTAGATAATTTTTCATACAAATTTCAGTCGTGCGCCAATTTTTTTGATAAACATTTGTAGACTTTGTAAAAAAAAAACTTATTTATGCTCAATTTCATGACTTAATATTTTGAGGAATCAATAATTAAGTAAAACTAAAGGTATTATAGTCCTAAATTAGAGAATATCAACAAAGAATTTCAATACTTCAATGTGTCTGAAAAATATTATGCACAAGGAATTTTTGAACATTTTTTTTCAAATCTGAATCATTGTGGAATTGCCCTTATTGAATTGGTATTTATTCATTCTGAACTGATTCAATGTCCTGAACAGGATTGTTCTATGGATGTGGAACTGATGGATATGATCGAAAATTATCAAAAATATATAGTATTAATTCAAAATTTTAAAAGCTTTTTATTTAGGTTTATAAATCAAATTTAAATTCTATTTGATTTGATTGTCAAATTGATTCTTTTGACAATAATTTTCGTTTGAACTTCAATTCTTTTTGGTTTTAGAACAATTCTTAAAGTACGATTTTAACTGGTCTAGCAAACTACTGCGATTTTTTGAGACAATATTATTGGAGATTGAAAAGTTACGTTCAGCTCTTGTAGATGTTGGTGGATTCCAGAAATATTAATTTCAAGCACGTATTTTATTTTGGAAAAATTACTTTAATCCAATGTCAACTAAGTTTATTATTTTATGGACATCATACATTTAAAAAATATTTTTAAATACTTTTTCTCTTCGTTTTTCATAATTATATGTTTTTGATTTAAAAAACATCAAATTTGAGTTTGATATTTCAACTCTTAAATTCCTTAACGTATGTTTTCATTATTATAATTTTTTTCTTTAAATTGTAGTTTTTTTCATGGAAAATACAAAATAAAAAAAAAAACCAATTTGAATTCGGGAATATTCCCGATTTTAGAACCCCTACATTGAAGTCGTCACTGCTATCATGCATAGCTAGAGATCATTTGTTTTCATAAACAAAGCACAGATTTGCCACAAAATATTAACAGCTAGCTTATAAGAACTACAAAAGAACCTTACAAAACAACAAATTCCTGATAAATCTCTCAAAATACAGTCAAAGCAACCACCTTAACAAGAACAATGGATTAACCAATCTCAATTACAATTCCAACAATTATATGAAGGCAAACAAAAAGTATAAAACACAATTTTCATTTGACGTTTCATGAATATAGATAACTACAACC